ATTGACATGCATCAATTCAAACTTGCACATATAACAAAATCAAGAACTCTAATGGATCCAAACACCAAAAAAATCACAAAAATAAATAACTAAATAAATTCTCACTTCTTTGTCAGATTTGAGTCTTTTAGACTTTGCAGAAGCACCCATGTTTATGCTTTCTAATTGCATTTTAGTCCTCTTCCTCTTCTTCCTTTCCTGAACACCAAAAAAAACCAAAAAAAAACATATGTTTTAGTCAAAGAACCCACACAGACAACAAATAATTAAAATAAAATAATAAAAGCTAATTAAAAGATTAAAAAAAAAACCTCGGATGAAGAAGTTTGTGGGGTCTTCAGGACAAAAATCAGAATCAGAATCAGAAGTACAGTACTGGGTCTCATGTAATTTTCCTTTGAGTTTTTCTTCGTCGTTGGTTTTCATTACAGTACTTGTTGTTCTTGTTTCTTCTATTTCCTTCGCTATCGTTAACAAAAGTTTTTTACTGACATTACCTTGCGCATACATTTTTCTTTTTTTATTAATATGTGGTTTTAGAGAGAGACAGAAGAGAGAGAGAGAGAAAAAGGCAGCTAGATTATTACACAAAGACAGCCAAACGCGGGGCCGCAGAGAGAGTTTTACAGAGGAAATATAGCGTTGCTCTAAAAGTTTTTTACTGCGAAATATTATATTATGGGGGTGCCACCCCTCTATTTAAATACAGTATGTCCGAGAAAATATTTTTTTTATTGTGCCCTCGGGTTTCTGTTTTATTGTGAAATGGTACTCGTAGTTTTGTATCATTTCATTTGGAACCCTTTATTTTATGTGACATGGCTCTTTTTGTACAAGTATTTTTTTTTAGTAATTATAAAGTTTAAATATGATTTTCTGAATTTGCTTGTTACTTTTAGGGTTGTGTTATTGTAATTCATTATTTTGTGAGATCTTTTGTCTTTAATTTTGATAATTGGTTCGTATTTTCGTAATTCTTGTGTTACGATATTTGTAATTTATTTTTTCCTAGATATGTTGATATATTTAAAATAAAGCCTAGATGGTAGACGAAAGTTGGTCTCCGATGATTATTTTTAGTGAAAGTGGAGGCGAAATGAGAATATGCTAAACTTCGTTACGTATCAGAAAATAGTGGAAATTTGATAGCTCAGGACGCTGCTTTTTCGCGTGCTTTAGGTACATCGAGATAAACAATTATTTAATGGCGGTGAGTGCGGAAGGTGAATTAAAGTGAATAGTCCTGAAATAACGTGAGACCTGTTGACTCGCCGAATGTAATAAATGCGACGATATTATATATTTTTTGAAATTCAAATTGAAAAT